TCTATCCACGAGTTTTGAGTGAGATTTTTAACTTCAAGTTGATTTGGTTTGATTTGGAAATTTTTTTAATTTTTTAATATTTTTTTTATTTTGTAATATATTAAAATATTTTTAATGATAAATTAACTTAAATAAACTTTAATTTAAAAAATTAAATTAAATTATAAATAAATTTTAACAAATATCAATAAGTAATTGCATAATTTAGATAAAATATTAATAATTCATATATTTATATAAAAATTATATATTATAATTTATATCAACATAAATTATATAAATTATATTTTTTATTTTTATTAAAATTTTAATTCATATTATTTTTATATTTTTTTACTGTATTACCATTCATATATTTATATATAAATTATATATTATAATTTATATCAACATAAATTATGTAAATTATATTTTTTATTTTTATTAAAATTTTAATTCATATTATTTTATAATTTTTTACTGTATTACCGTATTTTATTTCAAAATATCATGTCTTACGGAAGCCATGAACAACTCTACGACCAAGTATTAATGAAAACTTAGGACACAAGTGATTTGTCTTTTACAATGCAGTTGAGAGAAGTTTGACAAATGACAGCTAAGAACTTTTCGTAGGAATTAACGACGCTTGCCGTTTGGAAAGTGGCCCTTACACCCATACTGGGAAAGGAGTGGGTCACCCACGTGATCATCATCGTTTTGATATTGATGGTCCTCAGAGGTTTCTTACTTTGACCGTTTCCTTTGAAAAAAAAAAATTTCATTGCGACGGAAAATAAAATATTTTTTTTATTACTTTTATTAAATTCATATGCAGAGTAATCAAAAAGGAAAAAATTTTAAATTTAAAGAAAATTTGTTCTATGGACATTTTAAAAGTTTTCTCTTGAACATTCTTATAGAGTAAAAATTAAAAAATTTTAAAGTAAAATTTTATCTAAGCACTTAAAATTTTTTTTTCTAAACATATTTTTTATCGATAAAATTAATAAATATATTAATTTTTCTTATATATATATATATATATTATAAGTAGAAATTCAAATAAATTATAAATCCACCGTTGCGTATATAATTTTTCTTAAAATTTTAAATTTTGTGACTTTCTTATCTTTTTTCATAAGACTATCATGTTGAATTATCTTATTGTATTTAAAATGACTGGATTTATCTTTTTACCTTGTAAAAAACCAAATACTATCCTCCATATAGTAGCTTAAGTATTGAACGATTTAAATTTATTATATTAAATATTTATTTTTAGTATATTAAATTCATAATATTAATAATCAATTGTCACATATAATAAAAAATATTAAAATGAGTAATATTTTAACTTACTAGTAAAAATGCCCTTAGATTTTAGTGCAATGGTTGACAAAATTCTTGTAAACTTCACTACGAAATAAGAATTATTATTAAAATTTGATTTAAGTTATTGGATTTGCACAACTGTGATGAAATGGTTATTCTTATAATTTCTCATTACCACATGAAATTATTGAAATTGTTAATTTACATAATTAATCTATTAAAGCACATAAAATTATGTAAAAGTGACATTAATTTTCTTATATTGTTTATTAAGGAAAAATCCCATAATTGTCCCTCTTGTTTAATTATAAAGGCTTGGAGTAATTTAAAATTTTAATTAAAATTATTATATTAGCAATAAGAGTGAAGTGAAACTCGAGAAAATATCTTAAATTTGAATTATAACTAGGGTTGTTCATAATTCGATTTTAATTGAATTAATTGATCGAATTGATTTAATTCAATTAATCAATTAATCATTTAATTAATTTTAATCAGTTATTGAAAATGATGTTAAAATTTTTTTATTTTTGGTTAATTCGATTTTTGAATCGAATTAACCAAATTTTTAACCAAAAATATTATAAAGCCTATTATAAAACTAAAAATATATCCATTTCATTTTAAGTTATTAGAATTTTTAATTTAATATTTTGGTATTTAAATCTTTTTGTTGAATAATTTTATTTAATTTGTTTCACATATGAGAAAATAAGAATTTAAAATAAAATTTAATTTAATATATTTTATTATTCGATTAATTCAAAAATTAATCAAATAAATCGAATTAATTTTGATCGATTAATTATTGAAATTAAAAAAATTTGATTCAATTAATAAAAATAAAATAATACAATTAGATTTTGAATAATTTAATTTAAAATTAATTAAACCGATAAAATGAGTACCCTTAATTATAATTTTTTTTTTGCACGAAATAAAATATTTTACTTAAAGAAAGAGAAATAGGATGACATATTGCAATGGATAAATATATATATATTGTGTTTAATTATTAAAAAGTCTTTCATTAAAAATGTTTAAAGAATTTTTTTAATTATAGTTAAAACACGTTAATTTTAATAATAGTAATTTTATTTTTTTTGCCTCATAGTAATTGATTTTGATCAACGGGTGCAAATAATGGTATGATTGATAGATAAAATGTTAAAATTTTAATTTTGATAAATTAAAATTAAATTTGTAATTTAAAAAAAATTATTTAGACGTGGATGCAAATTTCATATAATTGCGTGCAAAGAGCATCAAATCTAAGCCTTCGTCCAAAACGACAATTTCTTAGGACTTCACCTTTAGTACGTCAAAATTCAGTTAACTTTGTGGGGTCCACTTCCGTTTTGTTGTACGGCTTTTTAGCTGTCTATCTGTTTTTCGTCTTTTATCTTCTTCTACGCGTCAGCCTTGGCAATGTCTTCACGCGCTTCCTCTTATTTTCTTATTTTTAATTTTTTAGTAATATTATTTTAGAAGAGAACAAAATAATTTGACAACTCATCTTCAATTATATGTATAAAATAGAATACAATAATAATTTTATAAATATAATATTTTTAATAATTAATGAAAATATCAAAATTGCTAATCAAGCTATTATTAGCAATATTATTTACAGGTAAAATTTTTGAAATTAATTATAGGTTTTGATCTTATTAGTGTATTTTAAAAAAAAGATATTACTTGTATTTAAGAAATTATGATTTTTTTAAAATTAAATTTTATTACCTTTTAAATAATGAAGAAGACTATTTGCTTTTTTTTTTTTTATCAAGCATGATTTTGAAGGAAAAAAGATCAAGTAAAAGAAATATATATATATATATATATAAGATATTAACACTGTAAATATTTTAAGCCTAATTAAAAACACCATATTTGACTACACTTGATTATTTTAAACATAATATAGTGACACGATACGAAAATAATATGAATAAAATATATAAAAATAATACAATTTAAAATTTTAACAAAAATCATAAATAAGTTTAATTAAATTAAAAAATATGAATTATAATACGTAATTTTTGTGTAAAATATGGTATGAATATATAAATTATTAATATTTTATATAATACGAATATTCGAATTATAAGGTTTATATTTGAGTTTGGAAGATTGGGTTTTTGACTTGCAACCAAAAGTAATATTTTTATTTATAAAATTATTAACATCCAAGTGTTTTTCTTGTTTAGCATTGCCTTCTTTTGCTACGTGGGGAGTTCAATATACTTATTTTATTTTATTTTTTGTTTTTAACACTTTAAAATATAGTATTATCAAATTTGGTAACATTTTCATATATTTTTTATTAACATTTGCTTGTTAAGTTAATTAAGAGAATAGTTAAAGCACATGCAAGATGGAATAGAAGCAAGAAATGAAAAAAAAAAACACTAAAATTTAAAAGTTGGCATAAAATGTAAGGTATATTTTACCTAATTATTATTTTATACATTGTCTATTGTAAATGCTTCAAAATCCAAAATCTAGGGACGAAATTAATGATAATTAGAACCATTATATATATTTTTGATTTTTATTATTTTTGAAAATAAAAATAAAGTTAAAATATTCTAAACCAAAATGAAACTAATTCAATTAAGATGATAACAGTTCAAATCGGATTAGATTTGGTTTAATTTTTTCGGATAATACATGAAATTATGAATTTTAAAAATCTAGTTCAAATTGGAATCAAACTTTCATATGATTCGAACTAAATTCTACAGATTCGGTTTAGTTCATTGATTTTTTAAATTTTTAAAATTTTGCTTTAATATGATTTTTAATATATTCAAATAAATTTAGGTATAAAATAATTATTTTATTTTATAAAAATTTTAAAAATATATAAAAACTAATAAAAATATATAATTGGTTTTTTTTTTTTTATTCTTCACTTATCGATTCAAAATTTAATTCGAACAATATCTGAATTTAATTATAACTAAATAAGAAAAAATTGATACAAACTGTACCAAATATTACGATTTTAAATCAATTTTTGAGTTTTTTAATTTTTTTCACCCCTAAACTCAACTAAAATCTCATTTAGCATTGTCGTTGAAAGTAGTTTTTGCCTTTAAAAATTACTTTTAACCTAAATGCAATACTAAACAACAAAAAAAAAAGGTTTTTTAGTTTAAAATCTTAGTTTTCCACCCCAAATCATCACTTTATTATTCCTATATTTTTAATATTTTTATTTTATATATATTTTAGATATTTTAATTGCTCATAATAATTTTTACGACAATATCAAATATGTAAAATTTCTAATATTTTTCATCATACTTTTTTAACCGTAACAACAATGTTAAACTAAACCACAGAGAAATATATATATATATATATATATATATATTATTTATAAAATACAAATATAGTACATAAAAAATTATGTAGAAATGTGTGATCACGTTGATAATGTGCCAAGCTCAAAATCAATGTGTCTTGCCTCACTGTCACCTTTTGTTTTTCTTCCCTTCTCTATTTCCTTCCCACCTCTCCTTATATTCTCGCCTTCCCTCCATTTTTCCTTCTCGGGTTCCTCTCCTTTTTTCAACCCTTTTTCTCTCCACCCAAAAGCCTCATATTTTCTGCTACATTTTTATTCAACTAAGCAAAAAAAAAAAAAAGGGGGGGGGGGTTTTGGGCTAGGAGCCATGACCATGAGTAGCAATATTGGGCAATTTGGTGACACAACTTTGACCAAAGTTTTCGTTGGAGGGTTAGCTTGGGAGACACCCAAAGAAGCCATGAGAGAGCATTTTGACAAGTATGGTGAGATCCTCGAGTCTGTGATTGATTTTTGATAAAAGTCACTTGTCAGATCCAGGACTACGGATTTGTATTCTAATTCACATTCAAATGCATTATTTGCAAGCTGGTTTCTAAGAGTTTTTCTTGTCTTTTTTTCTAAACTTTTTTTTTGGTTTTTTTTAGGAACTTTAAGAGATAGCTGAAGACGCTAAGAAGCTTGCTCAGGAGCCAACCTATCATTAACGGCCGCGCAAAGTGCAACCATTGCTCCCTCGGTGCCGCCAGTATCCTCTCCGCAGCTGCAACTACAAGGTATATATTTATGTGTATAAAGTTTGTATTTGAGATATCATAGACTTGTTTTCGAGTTTTGATCATAAATTTTAAAATTCGTTCATTTGCTCACCGAATTACTATTAATAAGATTAAAAATATTTATTGAATTAATTTAAGATATAAAGATATATTAAATTTTAATATATTTAATATCTTAAAATTTTTAATGCTCGACCGATTCGGCCAAGCCATAAAGATTTCAAAGGTTGATCTAACTTGATTTATAAATAAATTTATTTATTTGTATATAGTTACATTTTGGAAACTAATTAAAACTTGGTATCTTATAAAATAATTTTAAAATTTTGAATTAATAAATGTTAATTTAATTAAGTTATAATTTATGATTTACTGATAAAATATAAAATTATATGATAAGAGAGGATTAATTGTAAACATAAACTCGAGAACTTTTGGTATAATTGTTTTAAGAAAGATGTGGTGATGGCATTTTTGTAAATATGAGCATCATATGGGTCTAATCTTGGGGTTTTGAGCATTAAGGATCAAACGTTGGACCGAGGGTCACATCACCTGCACCAGCCCCTCATGTTCAGTGGTATTACCTAACAGCGTCGCCGTTTCGTCATCAGCATCATCAGGCCGTTCCTTTTCACGGGTCTGCTATTTGATTCGTTGATTTTGTTGTAGTTGCATGGCATAAAAGGTAGACTTTGCTTTATCTTATGCTTTCCTTTTTCACTTGTTTCAGTTACTCTCCTGCCTACATTGCCACAGATATCAGCTACAACCATGTAAGTGGGTTTCTTTCCTATGTAATTGCAGTCTATGGTTCATCATGTGATCTCAATATATATCACTGATTCCTAGTTTCAATCTCCCTAAATTGTTCACAATCGTCATTTGGGGCTTAGATGAATTGATAGAATCCGATTGGATAACGGGTGTAGAAATCTGTCACAATAATAATATGGTATAAAAATAATTTAATTTAAAATTTTAATATAAATTATATATAAATTTAATAAAAATAAAAAATATATTTTATATTTAATACATGGACATAACTTATAATATAATAATTTTTATATTTTATATAAAACAAATATGATACGGTTGCGGGAGTAACGTTACTTCAGTTTTACATTATTCATGCAGAATTTAGAATGTATTATATTGCAAAAAATTGAGTCTAAAAATATGGTGCGTGAATGGTTGAACAGAAGCTAAGCTACAGTGGAGGATCCTACACCAATGGGCATATCTCTCAAGTGTATCCAGCGGGGCAGGCTATGGTGGGTGCCAATGCATTGATGCCAATGTACCCTTTCTATCACTACCATCAATCACAGACAATGGGATTTCCAGCAGCCACCCACATCTTCCCACGAACAGCTGGGCCCATCAACACAGTCCCGGCTGCTGCTGCTGCTGCTGCTACTGCTGCCATCATCTCAAAACCAGCGGCACTAATTGCCCCTAATTCAGGTAACATCCATTGATCCTTCGCGATGGTGACCCACACGGTAACATGGCTCACCTTCACCATCTTTTTTTTTTAATTATTTTCTGAAATCATTCTGCCACGTGAGACGTGTTTGAGTTCTGGGTGGATTGGGGTCCACTGCCAACTGGCTCTTTTAGGAGACCCATGTGCCTGAGGTTGGGGTGGGATTGAAAGATTAATATTTTTGAACCAAATTGTTGTCCAATCTAAATTATGGCCTTAACGTTCACATGATTTTATTATAAAATACATTCAACCCACCAAAATTTTATGTGAAGAATACAATTTTTTTTATTGAAAAAAAAAGTTTAGAAGAAGAGAAAAATAAAAATAAATCTTCAATTTAATTAAAATTTATAAATTTATTAAATTTTTATCTGTGAATTTTTTAAATTTAAAGATCACTTATTAACAAAAAATCATGAGAAATTTTGAATTTGAGTGCATTAACATTAGGGGTGTAATCGAGTCAAGTCGATATAATAAAAAGCTCGAGCTCGAGTTCAACTTTCAACTCGCGGCTCGATACTCAATTCGAATTCGATCGAGTTTCATCTTTATAGTTCGAGTTCGATTCGTAATCGAAATAGAGTTACTCGAACTCGCTTGATTAAGCTTGATTCGTATATTCGATAATAGTTTGATTATTTGTGCTCGATCTCGAACTCAAATTTGAGATATTTTATTAATTAAAATAATAAAAATATATTTAAATATAAAAGCTTAATTAAGCTCATGAGCTATTCGAGCCTGATATAAGAATACTCAAACTTGACTCGATCGATAAGTCGAGATATTCGAACTCGAGCTCGATTCGATAATAATCGATCGAATTCGAGTTTTCTTCAAATCGAACCCAGATAACTTACGAGTACTAATGTATCATTTACAACTTTAATTAGCACCCAATATTCATCCCTTTTTAACACTTTTGCCAACTCTTATTGGCAAAAGAATATATTCACAAGTGAATTTTTACGAAATATATAATAATGATTAGATAATTATAAAATTATAATTGATATATTATGGACTTTAGGAAGTTTTTTAATTAGATTAAGTAATCTTAGATAATATTTGATGTTTATGAGTGTATTTAGTTTAATTACAAGTTATGAGAAAAAACATTATCAAAATAGAGTTTTTTGAAAAATTGTTTCAAAATTGTAATTATTTAGAATGACTATGATATTTTTATTTATTAAAAAAATCCTAATTAAACTTATTAATTTTTATGAAAGTTGCTATAATTTGGATTTTTAATTATTAGCTCCTAAAAATTTCAATTTTTAAAAACATAACATGAGTTCGTTTTCGATACATTTAATGAAAATTTTAAATTTTACAAATAAAATCAAAAGGCTCTCACATATTTTATTTTTTAAGTTTTTATTATACCGTAAGCTGTAAGAATACGTGTCATTTTACTATTTTGATAATGAAATTTAAAAATTTCACTATCAATTAAAACGATAAAATTTCGTCATAAATTTGAGTTTTTTTTTTTTTTAATTGTAAAAGTTTTTATATTTGCATTTAGTGATATAAAAAATAAAAACCTGATATTATAAGGACAGTTTGTTTGGCTGTGGAATAGGTACAACTGGCACAGGTGAAAGCTTTAAGAAGAAGGTTTGCTAAAGAGGGAACTTAGTTGCCAAAATAACAATGGGGAAAGATGGTGAGCTGCTCATTCAAACATTATTATCTGATCTCTGTTGTAGCTCTTCTTTACAATATATAAATTTTTTTTAAAATTTATTTAATTAATATTTATTCTTAGATGTTTGATCAAATTCTTTCATTCTCTTTTATCTCTCTGACATCTAAGCTTGAGCTGTGAACCATTAGAAAAGAAAAAAAATGTAACAAAATCATGTATTTTTAATTACCTCTATCTTATTTATTTATTTATTTTTAAATTACGGCTTCAGTGGATTAAATCTACTTCAATAACCTCAGTCTCACACATTAGTATAATTGTTTTGATATTAATAAATTACATGATTTGTTGATGATTTTTTCTTAATTATATTATATTAAATGATTCGAAATCCAAAAAAAAAAAAAGTGTAAATATTAAAAGTAAAATTTGAAGGTAAAAATTTTATCTCTCAACTTTCCTAGAGAGAGAGAGAGAGAGAGAGTTTTTTTTACCAAGCCCATCTTTTTTTTAATAAGCTTTTGATAGGATGAGATGCAAGCTTTGATTAGAATGGAAACGTACAAATCTCTTCAATTATTTTTATTTGTTTAATGTAAAGGAAGCTGCAGCTTATAAAAAATGATTGCAAATTTAAAATTGAATTCAAAATTTATTAAATATTATTTTTAAAATTAATTAAATTAAATTCAATCCAATCTTTTCGATTCTTTACATTAAATTTGCATGTAATTTGGAAAGCTTTTTTTTTTTTTTTTTGAGTTTTCTTTAAATTGTAATCAACCTAAGAAATAAAGCTTTTATTACGAATCGTAATCTATAAATAAGAAAATGAATTATATATATTGAAATTTAAATCACAAATTTATTAGATATTACTTTTAAAATTGATTGTACGAAACAATTAAGTTAAAGTTTCATGTTCATTCTCTTCAATTCTTTACTTTAAATTTAACTGCAACATCAAAAAGTCCTGTTTTACCCTTGAGTCCTCCGTTTGAGTTATGATCATCATAAGAAATAAAGCTACTTTTACTAGTAATACTAACCTTGGTTTTCTTTCTTGGCAAAAAAAAAAAAAAAACCTTGGTTTATCTTCTTATTAATTACTTGATATTTAGGTTTTTATGAAAAAATATCACCTATAATTATTATTTTATAATTAATTAATTACAATTCAAAATTATATGACATATATTAAAATTTTATATAAAATTTTTATTTAGAAGTGACGGACTCTTATATAAATTTTAATATAATTAAATAATTTTAAAATTATAATAAAAAAATTTATATGTGAATTGTTGCCCGTTATTATTCACGTAAATAAAGCTTGTGTTTTCATTTGGTTGGGAGGAAGAGGTCCAATTTGAACCTGACTTTCACTTACTTTCAGATTGGGTGGCCTAGAAAAGGGCTAATACCAGCTTGGCCCAACACATTTCTTGAAACCTCTAATTTTTTTTTCTTTTCTTTTGTTGATTCTTGGGCCAAATGGCTCTAATTATACAAACTCTACTTTCGATATATATAATAATTTATATATTCATATAGTATAAAAATTAAAAATTAATATATTTATATTCGTATTTTATGTAAAAATTATATATTATAATTTATATTGATACAAAAATATAAAATATATATTTTTAATTTTATGAAATCAATTTATGATTTTTATTAAAATTTTAAATTATGTTATTTTTATATTTTTTATTTATATTATTTTTATATCGTATTACTTAGTTATATTTAAATTATACGGTGGGTTTGGACTTTGGAGCAGCAATTTCATTTCCGGCATTTTTTCCCAATTTCAACAAATTTTCATAAAATTGTTCTTTCCTTTCATTTTCCTTTTTCCCGTTAATTTTTAGCAAAGAACATGATAAAGTTCATGGCAACATTAATTTCCTAATTTTAATACACTTTAAACTCTAAGTTAAAATATTAAAAAAATTTATTGAACTATTTTACTTTTCTTAAATAATTATTTGTATTTTAATTGTATTTAAATAAAATTTTTATTTTTTGATTTGTATCAAAATAAAATCTTATTTTAAATAAAAGATTGATTTTTTAAAGGTTTTTTTAGGTACAAATTAAATTATAAAAGTCTAATTTGATACAAATTTAAATTTAAAAACTTTTTTAGTGCAATTTAAATATCGAAGACTTGTTTTAATATAATAAAAATATAAAAATTTATTTAAATAAAATAATAAAATTTAAGGATTTTATTATTATTATTTTAGCCAAAACTCTAAGCATCATTATACAAATCTCTTCCAAATAAGTATACGAGGTTGCATATTGAAAATAAAGAAAAAAATTATAAATATTAAAATTTAAAATTTAGATTTATTTAATGTAATCTCTTAGAAATAAATATATAAAATAATAAAATTAAATTTCATATTCAAATAAGTATCTTTATTCATGAATATAATGATAATAAAAAAAAAGAATTTCAACTTTAATTTGAGTAGGTCATACACTATGATCAAAATCATCTTCCGTATCTCTTTTTTTTTTTTTTTTTTACCTTTCATATTATGATAATTTAGTAAATTATTCAAAAAATATTATTTTACATATTATAACATAAAATTTAAATTCAAAATTCGAGCTTATGTATAATGCTTCCCATATCTATTCAATAATTATGTTAATTTATTAGTATTTTTTAATTTAAATAAATGAATATAAAGTTTAAAAAATTTTATATTTTTTTGGTGAATTTTTAAAATATAAAATCCAAAAAAGAATAAAATTAGGTGAGAGTAGATCTAATGATTATTGTATTTATATAATATAAAATATTAAAATTTATATATTTATATTATATTTTATATAAAAATTATATATTATAATTCATGTCGATATTAAAATATAAAATTTTTATTTTTATTTTATTAAATTTATATATTTATTAGTAAAATTTTAAATTATATCATTTTTATATTTTTATATTATATTTATATTATAGTAAATATCGTATTTTAAATTATAAATTTTAAGTGAAAATACAAACACTCATGCCAACTTTGATCACTATTTAGTAGTTATAGTAAATTTTTAGTTAAATTTACTGATGAGGGGATATAACAGAACATTATCATTGTCAAGAGAACATGCCACGTAGAATGAGAAACAGTAATAGTACTGTTCATTCAACTTAAAATTTTTTTTTTGGCTGAGTGATGACCAATCACTGAAAAGTGAGATGTAGTTTTTATTGTCTTTGGATCTTTTAAAGGAACACTCAGGTGTTTATTTGCCCAAAACTGTACAAAGGAAAGGTATTTTTTTTTTTCTCTTCCAAAATCCCAAACCCTGAAACCCGTTGTATTGTTCTTCCAAGATCTATCAAAGGTAAACATAGATTCTTCACCTTTGTAATCTTATCTATATAATTATGTTATAAAGATTTCATCTTTTAATTTCTTTTTTTCATTTCATGCCCTCAATGATTTTTCAGTTTGAAGGCTTTATATTAGTCTTAGGTTTAGTTTGGTCATTAGGGTTTATCAAAATTTCCACTTTTTTCTTTGGAAATTCTCAATCTTGGAGCTTTTTTTTGATGATTTTGAGAAATACCCAGATTAGATTCTCAATGGATGAAACTAAAGAGAAGGGTGGTTTGTTTAGTAATGCTACGGAACTTTTAGTAGCTGTTAGTGAAACTGTAGTTGAGTGTCAACGGCTTAAAAAATTTTCACCCTTTTGTTTTATCACAGTGATTTATGTGGTATTAGATTGTGTCTTTTGCCAGTTTTTTCTTTTTCAAATTTCAATGTTGGAGTTTCAGTTTTGACTGTTTTGAAAAATACTCAGATCTGTTATTTAATGGATGAAGCTAAAGAGAAGGGTGGTTCAGTGAGTAGTGTTACAGACTCTTCAGTAACTGTTAGTAAAACTGTTTTTGAGACAATGATTTGTGAGGATCAATTTCAGATTGAGGAAGGAGGGGAAGCGGGTCCTAGTAATGGAGATGATATAATGGTGGAGGTTTTGGGTTCTCATGTTTATGTAGATGGTATTTGCACTACTGAGGGGGGAGATGCAGGTGTGGTTGGGGCTGGTTCGAATGATGAAGCAGTTCTTTGTCGTGATGAATCAGGTGAAGTTGGTTTGGAGGGTAATTTGCGAAGCTTAGATGGTGGAGGTGATGCTGCTGGTGATTTGCGTTCAAGGAGTGAGGTTTCAGGTGGTGAAGCTAGGGCCCAGAATGAGGTAAATGGATCTGGGATTGAAGGTTCCCGAGCACCTGGAAGTTCTGCAGGTGGAGAAGCTGGTGAGAATGCAGATCGAACAAGTGTAATGAGTGAAGGAGGGGTAGATGCAAATCAAGCTTTGGAGACACAAAAAATTGGTGATTTGGATAGTGATGAATTGAATCATGGAAACCAGAAAACAGTTGTATGTTCGTCAGCATCTGAAGATTCAAGCATGCAAACTAAAGTTATTGATGAAGCTGCAATGATGATCGATGGGGAAGATTTGAATAGAGTGGATGGTGCTCGTGGAACTATATCTGCTGCTGATTTAGATGTCAAATCCTCGGATGTGAAGATACAGGTTACTGCCAAAGATATTCCCCATTCTGAAGCTAAAGGTATGAAAATTAGTGCTTTTCATCATAATTTGAAATTTCAAGTTGAAGAACAGCAATGAAGTTTGAGAGTGGGTGGTAGCACTGAAAATCTCTACAATATCCGTGCAGATTCGGTTTGTTCATGTCAGTCAACTGAAATGGTTGTTGAAGGTCAATTGGACGACAAGGTACTTTCTGAATTTGATTATTAGGCCAACAATTAAAAGTGCAAAAGTGCTATGACCCAGCCTGACTCGTTATGTTGTGCAGGTTAATTCAAACATGGAAATTGATGAGCAAGGTACTGATTCTGAGCAATGGCAGATGGAAGTTTATTCTTCTTGCCAGGGCACTGAAAAGCATGCCACAGGTTTAGTTGCAAGAATTGATATTGTATTCTTTTCTTAATTTGAAAATTTTTTCTGGGTCCAACAATGTTGATTTGGATAGGGTTTTATCTTGCTCAGGAAATGACCAAAGCTTAATGTCTGAGACAGTCATTGACAGAGGAGAGGAAGTTGATTTAAGTATGGGGGAAGCAATGGATATTGAAAAGCAGGTTTCTGATGCCAAAAATGTTAGTTTTGATGTAGACCAAGATGTTAAAGTTCAAGAAGAGCCTGTTGAAGTTGAGACAATGCGTGTTGGCACTGAAAATCATAGAAATGCATGTGAAGGTTCAGAATCGATGGGTCACCAAGCAGAGGCGTTTGTTGGTAGTGATGAAGTTGAAGCCTCAAAAGTCGATAACAATGTTTCAAACCAAATATCTATCTCTTTTGCTTCAGACAATGCGTTACATTCCTTGGGAAATGAAGATAAGCTAGCTAAGAATGCAGCTTATGAGGATGATTCAAGTGTAGGGCAAGATGTGAATGTTGAAGAACCAGTTACTGGTGATGAACAGGATGGTTTAGATAATGTGCAAGAAATGGAATTTGAAGAACATGATACTGATTCTGAACAGCCTTCCAACATTGATGAAAAGACTGTTAAACGGACAACTCTAAAGTCTATGAGTTCAGTAAAGGAGCATCAAGCTAAGTACCAGCTGCTTTCAGAGGAAGAAGGTGCATTTTCTGTTTCTGATTTAGTCTGGGGTAAGGTGAGGAGTCATCCATGGTGGCCAGGACAGATATTTGATCCTTCATATGCTTCTGAGAAGGCCATGAAGTATTATAAGAAGGATAGCTTTCTGGTAGCCTACTTTGGGGATCGAACATTTGCTTGGAATGAAGCATTTCTTTTGAAGCCATTTCGAACACATTTCTCTCAAATAGAGAAGCAGAGTAATTTAGAATCATTCCAACATGCTGTCAATTGTGCTTTGGAAGAAGTCTCTGCACGGGTAGAGCTAGGTTTGGCTTGCTCTTGCATACCGCAGGATGTCTATGACAAGATAAAAGTACAAAAAGTTGAGAATACGGGAGTTTGGCAAGAATCAAGTACAAGAGATGGTGTTGATATATCTTTGAGTGCTAGTTCTTTTGAACCTGATAAATTAATTGACTATATGAAAGCATTAGCAGAGTCTCCATCTGGTGGGGGTGATCGACTTGACCTTGTGATAGCTAAAGCTCAATTGTTGGCATTCTATCGTTTAAAAGGTTATCATCAGCTATCTGAATTCCAATTCTGCAGAGGTTTAAGTGAAAATGAAGCAAATACCTCACATTCTTACGAGAAAATGCACTTTAGTGAGGTAATTGAGCGTGCTACTCCTATGGATACGGATGGTGAGCAAATTTCCACTGGCCAGGAGACTTCAAAAACTCAGAGAAGCTCTTACCTTAAACGTAAGCATAATCTGAAGGATGGATCATATCCTAGTAAAAGGGAAAGAAGCTTGTCTGAATTGATGGGTGAGACAGTTGATTCTCCTGATGGTGAAAATGGGTCTGATGGGATAGCTAATAAGCTCCCTTTATCATCTTCTGGCCAGAAAAGAAAAGCGGTTGATTCCTTTGAGGACTCAGGGATGCAGGAAGGGAGGAAGACAATTTCTCCGGCCAAAGTGTCTCTAACATCAACTCATTCTCCAAAGTCTTCCTTTAAAATTGGTGAATGTATCCGTAGAGCTGCAAGCCAAATGACTGGATCTCCATCGATTCTGAAGTCTAGTGGTGATAGGCTACAGAAGCTTGATGGATGTGGTGAAAATCCTGCTGCAGATGGATATGATGTTCCCATTGATACTTTTGAGGATGGCCTGCGAAAGAGGATGAATGTTATAACTGAATGCTCATCGCTGGACGAGTTGTTAGCGCAACTTCACTTGGCAGCATGTGATCCCATGAAAAGTTACAGTTCTTTTAATATTATTACTGGCTTCTTCTCTGATTTCAGAGATTCAGTGGTTCAGGATCAACTTCCTGGGGACAAAGCAGGTGGCAAAAGGAAGAAGTCACCAAGTTCTATCATTGGTTCTCCAGAAACTTTTGAGTTTGAGGACATGAATGACACGTATTGGACTGACAGGGTGGTCCAAAATGGTTCTGAAGAGCACCCATCACATGGAAATGGAAGGGGACAATATCAAATTGTGCCTGTTGAATTAGGGAAACCTCTTCAAAAAGGCCGTAAGTCTAGGAAACGATATTCTGATGTCAATCATGATTTGACAGTACAGAAAGCTCCTGGCTATGCGGATGAGAAGGCCCCAGCAGAACTTGTTATGAACTTCTCTGAGATTAATTCTGTTCCTTCAGAAACAAAGCTAAATAAGATGTTCAAGCACTTTGGACCACTAAAGGAATCTGAGACAGAAGTTGATCGTGAAACCAGCCGTGCTAGAGTTGTTTTTAGAAGATCCTCTGATGCAGAAGTTGCCTACAATAGTGCTGGAAAGTTCAAAATCTTTGGGCCAGTGGATGTAAATTATCAACTCAACTACACTATATCTGAATCTTTCAAAGCTTCGTTGTATGCTCCCATCTTAGCTGAGGAGACTCCACTCATTGCTTCAGCCCACCTATGTGGGGACCACGCACTTCTTGCCTCAACCCTGGGTGAGGAAACTTCACTCATTACCCCAAGCCTAGGTGAGGAAGCTTCATTCATGGTTTCAACCCTTGGTGAGGAAACCTTACCCCTTGCTGCAACTTTCCATGAGGAACCTTCAATAATAGCCTCAACCTTAGGCAATGAAACTTCTGTCATTGCCACAACCATATATGAGGAAACATTGCCTATTATTGCCACAGCCACGTATGAGGAAACATTGCCTATTGCCACAACCACGTATGAGGAAACATTACCCATTGCCACAACTGCAAGTGAGGGAACAATGGCTTTTGTTACAACTATTGGTGACCAAACTTTTACAGATATCGTAACTGCAGGTGAACAATCTTCAACAATTGTCACAACTATGAGTGAGCAAACCTCGACAGTTGCCTCAACCTTGGTTGATGATGCTTCTCTCTTCATGACAACGTTGAGCAATGAAACTTCGGCCATCACGACAACCTTGGGTGAGGAAACTTCAACAGTTGATGCAAGCTTGGGTGAGGAAACTTCTACCATTGTTACTTTAGTTCAAGAAACTTCAACCATTCCCACAACCTTGGGTGAAGAAACTCCTAGCATTCTCACAACCTTGGGCGAAGAAACTCCTACCTATCCTGTAACCTTGGCAGAAGAATCCCCTACCATTCCCATAACTTTGGGCGAAGGAATTCCTAATCTTTGCACAACTGTGGGTGAAGAGACTCCAGTCATTTCTGCAACGTTCAGTGAAGAAACTCAAGCCATTCCTCCAACCTTCAGCAAAGAAACCCCTAATGTTCCTGCAAACTTGGGTCAGGAAACTCAGACCATTCCTACAACAATGGGTGAGGAAACTATGACCATTCCTGCAATCTTGGGTGAGGATACTACTGTTCCCACAACCTTGCACGAGGAAATTTTGGCTGAGGAAACTCCAACAAATCCTACAACCTTGGGTGAGGAAACTTCAACTATTACCACAACATTGGGCGAGGAAAGTCCAATGAATCCTACAACCTTGGGTGAGGAAACTCCAATCAATCCCATGACATTGGGCGAGGAATCTTCAATTATTCCCACAACCTTGGGTGAGGAAACTTCAACTGTTCCTACAACCTTGGGTGAGGAAACTTCGACTGTTCTCACAATTAATGGTGAGGAAACATCAACTGTTTGCACGACTATTGAAACGGAGACTTTGCTCCCTGTGGTGGCTGAAAGAAAGGAATCTGCAACTTGATATCTCCACCGTAAAAGTTACTTGAAAATTTTAGGTACTGCTTTTCTTTGTTATCTGCATGAAAGTGACTTGCAATCTCTTGCTCGTAATTCCTTTAGTGGATTAGTATGGTTTTCGGTGTGAGATATGAAATAACTAGATCTATAATACTATATATGGCACCACTAAGTGCAAATGGTAGAAAAAAGAGCAGCTGTTATTTTACCTTTCGAAAGCCAGCAGTTTAGATCTCCAGGCTAGTTGGGTTGTGATCCATCTCTTTTTTTTTTTCTTTTTTTGTAGTGTGGAAAGCTTCATGGTTGCTGCATCACGGGATTATACCAAATATAGTTGATTAAGCGTTTTAGGATTGTGAAGTTGGATGAATAAACTATGAATTGTGCACTATGAATTGTGCATAACGATCGGTGTTTCCAAAGACTAATTCTTCTCTTTTACTTATCTGTGTTAGCATCTCCTATCGTTTTTTTATCTTATTCTTTTGATGCCATTGTTGTAGGCGGGAACACATCCTGAAGTTTTGGTGTTTGTGTGGCTCTGATAGGGGGTTGATTCAACTTGCCACTGAAGAAGGCAACCAGACATGAGACAACATCTCAGCTGCTGCAACTTCAATCTTCTGCTCGGATTCTTTCTTTCTTGAATTATCCTATGAGCGGCATGGTGTTTATACACATGCTTTGGCTAGTGTAATATAAGCATTTTAGATGATGACCTTTTCATGGATGCTATCCTTGAGGATTAGGAGAATTTCTTTGTGGAATCAAGATGCCTATCAATAATTCACGCCTCTTTATTGTGCATGCCAGAATATGGGGTTATTGGTCATTGTATCACAATTGCCGAGCCGAGCCCGCTTGTGCCCTTTTTTTTTTTTTTTTAATTTTTTATAAAACCATAATTTGGGAAAAAGAGAAGGGATTACAGGTATAAATATTCAAATTTCAGATTATGTTATCTCTTAAAGATGAATACATAAATAAATTAATTGAGTTAGACATCGGATTTGATTGACCATTTTCTTCTTCAATTCCTTATATGCGTTTATCCAAGCTTGAGAAAAATTTGTTATAATTAGTAAAACAAGAGGGTTATATTCCCCTTTCTGCCGTAACCATGTAATAGAATTTATCAAACCCTCGGTTAAAACTGAATCGAATTAATTGATCAAATCCATTTAATTTGATTATTTGATTAGTTATTAAATTAATTTTGATCGATTATCAGAAATGATTATGAAGAAATTTTGATTTTTAATTAATTTAGTTTGAAAGTTAAATTAATTGAATTAATCAAAATTTTAATCAAAATATTATAAAACTTAAAATAAAAAATATATGAATTTTTTTAATTCATTTCAAGTTATTAGAATTTTTAATTTGTTATTTTGATGTTTGAATATTTTTGTTGGATGATTTTATTTAATTTATTTCAAAAAATAAGAATTTAAAATATAATTTAATTTAATGTCTTTTATTATTCAATTAATCAAAAAAATTAACTGAATTGAACGAAATAATTTTAATCGGTTATTTTTGAAATTAATAAATTCAGTTTAGTTAATGAAAAATAAAATAACATAATTTAATTAATTCAATTTTAGATATTTAATTTGAAATTAATCGAATCGATTATCTCAAACAATTATATTTTTTTTACCTAATTTTTTGATACCATTTGCATTGACTTGATATTACAAATTAACAAACACCGAATTAAGTTATTAAAAATAAATAAACGTAATACTATATTATTAATAATTTATTTTTCCTTTTTGGATATAACATTTCAATGGTCTTTATCATTTAAATTAAAGTAAAGCCTATTAATTTTTTTTTCTTTTTCTCTATTATATGTTTCTAACCATGTAAGGAGTGCAATGAAAGTTGGTCTTTCCTAATTTGCAAAATGGAAAATTCAGTCAAACATAATCTGATAAAAAATGTTGAATTTTTAATTTCTAAAATTATGTTTAAATTTTGATAATTTTAAATAAAAAATTAACAAATAATAGTATAAGCTTTAAGATTAAGATTGATTTGGCTAGAAGTGGTCAAACAAGTAAAAAATGTAAAATTAAAGGCAAACTTTATTTTTTTAACAAAATTAAAGGTAAAATATGATTTTGTTAGTTTGAATTTTTTTTTTTATCTACATAGTTTGTTTTATATTTTTATTGTAAAATAAATTTACTTTGTTTTATATATACGTGTCAGGTTTTCATTTGCCTTTGATGTAACAAGTTGCTGTATTGGGTGCCTTTATTATATTCCCATTTTTAAGACAAAAGTAAGAATCTTCTTGTCTTAATTCATTAACCAAAAATCCGCCCCAATAATTAGTAATAATTACAATTTAATCAGTCAAAATCTTCATTTCTAAATTTTTAAAAAAGTTTCGACTTTTCCCTCTCACTTTTTTTTTTTTTCTCTTCACATGTCTTTAAGGCAAGAAAAAACAGAGAAGAAAGATTAATCTTGAAGAAGAAAATGTCATCCAAAAGAAGCGTTTTGCAGGAATTTCAATTCCCTGGTACGTTATTTCTTCTGGGTTTTGGTTCTTTTATTTGTTTGGATATTAAGAAAAACAGAGGAAAACAGAGGAAAGTTAAACACTTGAATTCTTTATAATTGTTTGTTTCTTGGTTTTAATTTCTTGGGTTTTATTTTTTTTCAATAAAGAATAAATCTTTGTGCTTGGTAACGCATCATTGTTTAAGGAAAGAATAAATTGATGATCTTCCATTTTAGGCAATTCCATTACAGAAAAAGAATCTTTTTTTTTTTTTTTATGATATAGGATTGAATTTGACAGAAATAATGAAAATTTTAATTTTAAGCCATTAAATTTGGGATAATATTAGGATTCAATTTGATTGATCATTTCCCTTTCTTTTGCATATGTGTTGAATGAATAAATTTCTTGATGAACTATAATTTTGCAGAGGCTTCAAGGAACATAAAGAAGGTTGACATTGCTGGTTTCAGGCTGATTGAGACTGCAAAAGATGCACCAAGGCAAAGGGAAGAAGAAGAAAAGCCTGAAAGGTTCGAGTCCAAGTGTGATTTGCGCAAGAGTTTGGCTTGGGATAGTGCCTTTTTCACAAGTCCAGGTTGTTTTATGCTTCTAAAATGGCCGAAAAATTCCAAGGCTTTCCATTGTCAATATGATGATTCATTGAATTGCAAGTTTATTGTCACAAAATTTTGTTTATATTCTCAGGAGTTTTGGATCCTGAGGAGTTGTTTGAGACTTTGAATATTCATGATGGAGACAATGGACTCAAAGAAGCGAGTGCTTTACCTTCTGAGTCCATGGCAGCAAGTAGAATTGGTGAGTGCATTGCCCGAAGAAGTTTAGCTTGGGATACTGCCTTTTTTACAAGTGCAGGTATGCTTCTTTACAGCTCTTCCAGCAATTTTGCCTCACAATATGGTTTTATGGTATGATTTTGAAAAAAGAACCAATATGTTTTGTATTTGGCATATCCACACAAATTGTAACTCTAAATTTTCGTGTTTTACAAGTATTAGACATAAAATAAACAAACAATATACATGAATTGCCAGGTTTACAATTTTCAATTTTTTTGGGTTTTTTTTTATGCTTAGGGGTATTGGATCCAGAAGAGTTGTCTATGGTAAATAAAGGATATAAGAAGTCTGAAACACATACACTTCCTGGAATTGAAGAAGAATTCTGGAAATCTGCTGAATCGAACTCTACAATGGGTAGTGATTACTCCTTGGCAAGTCTTGAGATTGATCTTTTTGATGATATGAAAACCTCCATGCAAAAATCAAGCAAAGCATACAATATGGTCAATTCAAGTTGCAAACTTGAAATTCAAAAAGGCATACCAAAACCCCATTGTAAGTATCATCTGCTTTGATCATGTCTTTATTGGGAACTTAACGGGGCAATCATTCCTGTCAAGTTTGTAGGTTAATGCACTTTAGGCTTTCCAAGGTTTGATTGTAATAGTGCCTTTTTTTGGTACAAAAGAGGCCGTAGCTTAGGGATAGGGGAAAGGGTTGCAGATGTTGATATTTGAATGTCAGATTTGTTAGATCTCACTTTTTAATATGACTGCATGAATCAACTGAATTAAGTCTGGCAATATGATGTGCTAGAGGCTTAGTCAGGATTAGAAAGGATAACTTGTGGTTGATATGATTGTTTTACAAAATGAATTGGTTCTCACATTCTTTTTCCCTTATGCTTATCAAGTCTGCTGCTTCTATGCAGCTTCAAAAAGGCTGGATGCCACTTCATCAGTGAGGGTTTGTAGTCTTTTTTTTTTTTTTTTCCTTTTTTGTGTCACAACTGGCAGTATTTATGGTCTTTTTGAGACACATTTATGTCAAAATTTCAGATTAAACCCTTGCCGGTTTCCAGAACGCAAAAAATTAGTGCCAATGGAGTGGCGAAGACAGCAAATGAAGCCATCAATCCTCCTCAAGCACAGGTATGTTCACTTCAGGATAGTGAAATAGACTCTCTGGATGCCTGCATCTCAGCCATGTTTCATTTGAGAGCTGAGATATGCTCTAGCTGACCTTTAAAGAGAAGCACCTGAGTTTCTGAATCTCCTTTCACTTTTAATGCATGGCTGAGTTGTTGACTGACTTGAGTTTATTACTTATGGTCAAAACAGCATGCTACTCGAAGAGGTGAACCTGATTCATCGTCTTCTGCTAAGCTGTCAAAGGGATTTAGCCAGGCCAACCCTCTCTCATCTGCTACAACCAAAAGGGCTTCATTGGGTGCAAACAACATGAAAGTGAACAAAATCAGAAAAGCTGTACCTGGTAAACATTGCCATAAATTTTGATCTACTCATAGAGGGTTACATTCCATTTCTGATGAAATAAAATTGTTTTCGGATCTTTGTTTGATGGTTGTAGGACGAAATATGGTGAAGAAACCTTTTGGTGACTATGGTAGTTTTATCCCCAGTTCAACACCATCTCCAGAGCCAGCTTCATCATGTTTCCACATTGCCTCCAGAGATCTTTCAGGATCAGCTTGTGGTCAGATTGCTTCAATGGATAAATCTCCAAACTCTCTGAGAAGAAATAATGGTTTGGCTGCTTCTTATTCAAATGATAGGACTCCTATAAGATCTTTAACCAGACACGAATGCAAACAGATAGATTCTTCTCAGCCTACTGACTTACTATCCACACCCAAGTCTTCAAGCACATCAGTTTCTAGTTCCATTGATTGTTGGTCTTCTGAATCCTCAGCTTCTGTGAATCATGGATCTAATAAATTTACAAAGAGCCTCGATAATGCCTTCAACAGAGGGGTTCCTGTGAACAATTCTCAAGGCTCGGACACTGAGAAGTGTTCTAGTGATCAACCCTTTGTGCGAAAACCTTCTGGCCTTCGACTGCCATCGCCAAAGATTGGATTTTTTGATGTGGTTGGTTTCTCTATTTATTTTCTTCATTCCATTGACTGGTGAGTTTTCTTCCTGTTGAATGATCCTTTTTCCATTGACAGGAAAATTCTGGGGCACTAACTCCAAATGGAGGTCTAAAGTTTCATTCTGGTATGCAAAATGCTTCAAAAATCAGAAGTGGCACGAATCATATCAATGGCACTCCCAATAAAGTAAAGTACGGTAAGATTCAACCACCAAGAACATCAACAAGGACAGCTAGTGTGAAGGAGAAAAAGCTGGGTTGTCTGCAAACTGGAAACCAAAGTTTCAGGGGTATCAAGCCTAATTGTGCTGGACAATTTACAGTTTCTGGGACAATCAGAAGCTCTCTTGCAACAAGCTCCAAAGCTGAGACTGATGTATCCTGTGAATCAAGCTATGGATATGGCTCAAAAACTAATGGTTCGGGATCATATTTGAAAGGAAAGGACAAAGGTAAAACTCAACCTGGGAACAAAGAACATGTCACTCAAATTGTTAAGATGTCATCTGTGGATCAGAATGAAGACACAAGTGCACTTAATCGTGATGGCAATGAAAATTTATTCGATTTCGAGAATCAAGTTAATGTTTTAACTAAGCAGGTTGAGGCCATTGATTTCAATGGGGCTTTGGTGATAGAATTCTAAGCTGAAATGAGACCTGAATCATTCTAATTTTTATGTTGATGTAAATCCTGCAAAACATGGTGTTGCACATTGTAAAGGATGTTTACTGATAATATTTGAACAACTAGAATGTCTTGTTTTCAAGTGAAAGAATTTTAGTGAATAAATTTGCATCTTATTTTTCTTTTTTTTTCCTTTTTTTTTTTCGTATCATTTTTATATTACGTCACTATATCATGTTTAAAATTATGAAACTCTTAATGCTAATATTACCTTTTACTATTAAGACTACTACCCTTCAATGATATGACATCTTGGCATATTCTATAGCTTTCAATTTGCTGCTGAGCTTGAGAAATTGCCCAGGATGTTTTCCAAATTTGATCAAAACAACAGTAATTTCAAACTAAACATAATTGAAATATTGATTAAAACAAAAATGCATTCTCTTTTGATTGATTTTTCATTGCTAAATGAAAAAAATACAATCAGCTGTTCAATACTATCATCAGTTGCCTGGCAACCTTAAAACTTAGATCAAAGGTCAATTGTTCCACATGGACCCTTTTTCTTCCTAGTGAATCAAATCACATGAAAGAATTCAGGGTATGTTTTACAAAACCTTCTTTCATAAAGGCCATAACATCTAAGGTAGGCAACTGAAATACTTTGCAGTATTATTAATGTTATTGCATCGAAGGAACAATGAAACCAGCAATTCCGGATCTGTCAAGGCACCGGGAGATTCGAGCTGATGCCGTGTTATTACTCATCATGTCATCTGTACCATAAGTTAAAAGCATTCCTAGTAAGAATCCTTTCCCCGTAAGCTATTCTTCGAAGATCAGTGTTCTTGTTTGCACATTTATAATCAAAAACATGCATCGGAAAAAAGTTATAACTGGAAACAAATTGTTTAATAGAAAAATAGAATCCGAGACCCCACACATGCCATTTTCTGGGACATATGCTTACACTTATCCTAAAGTATCATATCGCAGTTACACTAACCCCACCTTTGGGGTAAAGATAGCAGACCCAGTTGAAGTCCCTGATTTTAATGACCTTAAGGAGAAGGAGAGGTTGAAAGCAAAACCCTCTAAGGTAATAGAAGAGCCAAGCTCCCAATAGAAAATGAATATTTTGGAGGAGAGAGTGTGAGCTATCGAAGGAGTGGATTATTTTGGCTCTATAGATGCAGCTGAACTATGTTTAGCTCCAGATGTAGTTATCCCGTCAAAATTTGAAGTCCCCAAATTTGAGAAATACGATGGGACAAAATGCCCGGTAACTCATGTTACCATGTATTGCTGCAAAATGGCGGCTCATGCTCATGATGAGAAACTACTGATGCTAACCAATGAAAGTAGATAAAAGATATAGAGACTAATTGAATTGGATCAGGTATCCAGGACTAAGCTTCAATCTTCAGGTGATTTATTTAATAAGATGACATTTTTATGCCAGAAATTTCTTAAAATGCCTGAAAGCACAACAGTTTCAAGAGTTTGAACAGGTATGTAGATAATCACCTTGAATAATTCGCCAAACATCCCTTCAAGAGGATTTCTACGCTTTACACCATAGAATTTTTCCGCAATGTCATCTAGCAACTGAACCATCATGTTTGTGTTAGAATCTGATGCATGTAAGCTTACTCTAAGCCTAAGACATGATAAAATCGGTAAATAAAGGCCACTTGGCAGATATATGATAATGGTTACATCCCAGCTGGGAACTGAAAATAAAGTGGAAAACACGTTTTACAAGAGAGGAAATAACAATCAGAATAACAGTATTCTAATTGGGAAAAAATGATTGCGCACCGCATTGAATGCAGGTTCTCTGTCTATGCTAGATGTGAAATTCACTCTCAATATATTAAAAAGAGGCAAGGCTTCTGTTTCCAACCTGCATACAAAAGAGTTTTCAAAACAACTTATCAGACCGTGCTCCATTTACCAAACATGGAAAGACTATGGTGGCTTAACTCTAAGCCGAAAACTGACCATGGTGCTTTTAACTTAAAAGTAAAAGGAGATGGTTTTGTTTGATGGATTAAAAAGTAAAACACTAGCATTAACTAACAACCATTGTTGGATTTTCTGGTTTTTATAGCTCCCCAGACCAAAATCAAAACCAAAAACAGTTATGCTATGGTTTGGAGATGAGAGCGGCTTTGGTTATAATTTCTGTTGTCAGTAATAATACTTAATGCCAAGGAAGTGCAATCCAAGCAAATAAACCTTGGAAATCTGACCACTTACAAACTTGAGGAAAAAACTATAAACTTTAATCCCCCAGCCCTTTTCTCTAATCCTCCCAAAAATTTCAATGTATTGGTGTACATTAAAGCATTATATCACCCTTAAATCAAATTGTAGAGAACACCAACTTCCCTCCAATAACAAAGCAGAGCAATATCATCAACATATCACTCCACATTATATTCAAGGGTTAATGTCATGAATAGCCTTTAGACAATAGGGAAATGCTCAATGTGGTACCCAAACTTTAAAAATCTCTAATGTGGTACCTAAACTATGAATCTGTTTACTAATGAGGTACTTCATGTGTTATCATTTGAAGCTAACCACATTAGAGATAAGTATCATATTAGTTAATAGATTCATAGTCCAGGCATCACATTGGAAATTTTTAAAGTTCAAGTACCACATTGAACATTTCACTATAGTTTAGGGGCCATTCATGACATTAATCCTGTATTCAACAACAGTGCATCCACACCTACTTGCATTAAGGATAGTAGGACTGTTCCCTATAGATGGAGAATGAACTGAGGAAGGAACAAAAGAAAAATAACTTACGTAAGCAAGAGACAAGAGATAAACTGAATCAAATCTGATTGAGGGAAATTGAGCTCTTGGGATGCCACTTGTTCCTTCAATTCATCCATAAGGCAATTAGCATCTCGAAGATTACCCATAGACAAATACCTACCATGCAAAAGTAAATTTGCTTCATTACTACACAGTTTATCACAACATTATAAGCAGAAGCAATAGCCTCAATTGTATTGCCAAGTTTGACCATGTGAAGGTCGAGAAAAAACTAAAATCCCTATAATTGATGGAAATTTATAACAGTCACTAGGAAAGTTCAACTGATTTGAGTGCCAAAAGAAACACCATAAAGAATGGCACGTCATTATAATTCAGTCAAATGATTCCATTGATGGATTTTGTTTAGACTATTCACATGAATAAAATATTCTAAAAGATCAAGCAAAAATGTGAAGTTCTATTCGGCCATCCAATCTAATTTTGATATGAACAGGTGCTTTTCAGACCATGAATATTTTTGAAATTAAATAAGAAATAAATATACAGGTTGAGAGCAGTCAGTGTCTTTTCAATAATGCTGTCAAAATGGCATGTTAAATTGATAATTTAAGTTTATAGAAGTACAAGGGGCCACTTTGAGAGGGGAAACAATGAATGACACGATATCTTATTGACCATAGAGTTTTGACATCGAGTAGGACTGAAATTTAAGCTGTAAGGTCAAGATTACAGGTTTCCATATTATTGATTGTGCCCCAAAAAATAGTGGCAATAGGAACAGTAAAATTAGAGGCCAAGTGAGCAGTTTTTCAGTGGGCTTACAGAAGAACTGCTCGTGCAATGGCCATATCACCTTCACCAGGATAGCACTGCATGGTTGAAAAGTGTATCAGTTCATTGCATTATACAAGTATCAAAGGAAAAGTAATACTTGCAGTAAATCATAGCGATGGAACTTGAAATTCAAGTACATTGATTGAGTTATGCCATCTTCCATGCATTTTTGATGGCCAACATTCTAGTTCCTTGAAATAAGCATAGTTTCTTAACCCAGAAATTTGAAATATTTAAGCACTCATCACTAAAGTAAAGACCAAATTTGTATAGCTTAATTCTTCTGAACAATTCAAAGGCTGGAGTTGAGAATGACAGAAAAAAGTGTCTTAGAAGTAATAAATTAATTTCAACAATAATAAGTAATAGGCTTAGATGTAGAATCTCCCTAGCAAAAGTAGAAATACATGCAACAAAATCTGAAGATGAGTGAAAGTTTCAATAAATTATATACAAATATAAACTATTATGTATCTATATTACTGTCCGGCTGTTACATATTGTACTGTTACACAACAAAATATGACTTTGATTTGTATGCCTCAAACCATCTTCATGACAATGCAAGAGAAAGAGAAGAGAATTAACCTTGCCCATGAAATTTACTAAAGCAGATGCAAACTTCTTTGGGTTGTTTCCTCTAACAAAATAATACGACACTCTAGCCATGTCCTGTGAAAAAAACATCATATGATTGTCGGCATGCACAAGCATGTCAACTAGTGAATGGACCTTTGAACTGCAAAGTAATGACAAATATTGCACAACGAGGAACTTGATATAGGATAGTTTCAAAGGCTTGTGTGGCTGGTAAGTGGAAGCATCTAATTTATTTGCCCAAGCATCTTTTAGTAGAGCATAAAAGGATCTGAAGAAAGAAACCACTGTGAAAATGATGCTGTTTACAAAATAACAGTAACTCCAAATACCCAAAGCAAAGTCCCAACCAATTAGCTAACTTTTCTTGTAATTATTACCAATATTCTAAAGATAAAGTTCATGATCATAATGTGTTTTTGCATTTATCTTCGTCTTGTAAATTAGGACAAAGGAAAACTTCATGAAAGTGATTCATAGCAGCAGGAGCAAGGGACAAGAACAAATGTGCGATTGACGTAGAAAAACCGAAGCCTAAACCTGAACTTCCAAACCTACCAACTCAGGAGATTCGGAATATATGTATTCAGCTAGCATCACATGCAGTTCAGGATCACCATTCCTGTGAGCACCAAACTCCGCAGACCACCTAAAACCCAAAATAAGCAAAACAGTTCAGAGAAAATACAATAATATTTAACGAAGTTAAAATTTTTAATTTTTTTAAAAAACTTTTTCATTCTCTCCCTTGTTTTCATATCCTTCACTTCCACTTATTCAACAAAGTGTAAGTTCATGATCATAAACAGCCTAATCTTATGCCTCCGCAGATAATTCAATTTTGCAATATCTTTTAATCACAATCTGGAAAGGCTATGATTCATCTATCAAATAAATTTAACCACCATAAATAATAGGAAAATGGGAAAGGCTGAGCATTGTCCCACAATTCACTTTAAACAACATAACCAGACTAGTATAAGAGCAATTAGACAACACTTCTAGAAATTTTGAGGCATTTTCTAATGAAGACATAGCACAGCAATTATTAAAAGAAAGAAAATAGCTGATCAAAACTTGCAATTAGCAGATCCCTTCGAACAGTTTAACTATCAAGAAATGAAGATAAAATAACTCAGACATTTTACTAAGGCAGCTGAAACAAATTAATTTTAATATAACCATCAAGAGTAACTTTAACAGTATATGGGAATGATCTCTCACTTTATAGCAGCTCTTAAGAATGATGAGCAGCCCTCTACACGTGTCTTTGCTGCCCCAAGAGCTTCAGTAAGTTCTTGAACATCATCATCAACTCCCAAGTTACTAGGCAGTGGAATCTGAGGAAACACCTTATAGATTTTCCTGACTCGGTCTAACATATACATTTTGTCATAATCACAACAACAGAAGTAGCAGAACTATATGAAAAAACAGCTATATATAAATTTATATAATTAACTTGAAGGTTTGTTTTCCATATAAAAGATACTTAGGTCTTCAGAATAAAAGAAGGCAGAGTCCATAAACTATTCATCACAACTTGTTCTGATAAGCAAACCAAAAAACAAGACAGGGCATATACTGACCAAGGATGTCTTCATCATAAGGAATTTTCCCTTTGACAAGTGTCTCAACAAACAAGACTGCAAGCTCTGCCCCACAAGTAACCTGAATTTTTATTCCCGTAATTTCAAAGCAATGGACTATGAAGTAAAGGACAACAATTAACAAGACCAACACAACAAATTTCCTCATGGAAATTTCATAGAGCCTCTAGTTTCCATAGGAGCACAATGTTTTTTAAGTAATTACCAAGTAAAATCCAATAAAATTTATCAAAAAAAATAATTCTTAGCCTGCCTGATATCCTAGACGTTGCTGTGCTAATTTGCATCATTCTTACATCTGAGGTTATATCTTGGCTAAAAGGAAGATCAACCATGCATGTAAAGGGTATTAATCATGAAATATTTGCAATTACTGAATTGATGTCATCTTATATTTGTTTCAATTTAATTTTTACATTACCCTATCCAATCTGAAATAATCCCAGATTCTAAGCTGATGATTACTTTAAGGAGATAGGACTAGTATACAATCATCCTCCGATCATTTTGGAACCAAATTTTGAACAACCAACATCAACTTCATGATGCTTTTGCATATAACTTTGAGGAAAACCTTGACTATCAAGCTCAGGATCAATGTACTTGAAAGAAAATAACAACCTGGCCATGCTTCAACTGGAGGCATGCACCTGAATGAAGCAGATCCAAGGCCTCAGAATATCTTTGAGCAGACACATATCTGAAATAAAGTATGCATGTTTCATAATCAATGATAAGTCTTCCAATGCAGAAGAAAATACCAAGCATGCAAAAAAGAAAAAGTCATATTACTTGCTGCCTTAACTACTACCACTAATATAGAACCCTAAATTGAAATTGGAAACAAAGAATAACATAAGCAGCACCTTAAACTTACTCAAGCTTACAAAGCTGTTAATCCAACTACAAGGGTATCCACCCCATTAAGCTCCATCTAAGATTCTAAGCACAACTAATACCTATGCTGCTCTGACCTTTCATTTTTTTTTTTCTGAATCCCCCATGTCCAACGTACAAGCAGGGTGGATCCACATATTTAGCTAGACACCCCCAAAGATATAAAAAAAAAGGCAGCCCGGTGCGTAAAGTGCTCCTGCAATGCGCAGGGACCGGGGAAGGGTTTATTGTACGCAGTTTTTCCTTCCATTTTTGTAAGAGGCTGTTTCCACAACTCAAACCCGTGACCACCAGGTCACATGGCAACAACCTTACCGATTGCGCCAAGGCTCCCCTTCACACCCCTAAAAATTGGAAAATAAAAAAATTTCTCGGATCTGCCATGGGCATGGCCATTGCTTTCCAACTATCAAGATATAAGGAAAAGCCCGGAAAAAAAGAAAAAAGTTGAATGCATCCATATCAGACACGTACTCTTGAGTCTGAGTAAGATAGGATAATATCATTTCTAGCAATCTGTAACTCTAAAAACATAAATTTGGGAAATTGCGGACAGTCTTACCGTGCACTGATAGACTTGTACATCTGTTGAGATCCATAGGAATTACCCTCATTTATAGCTTTCTCCAATTTATCAATATTCTGCATTTCATATCAAAAATAAAAACAATGCAATTAGGAATGATTCTTCACCATTAAAATAAAGTCCAATCATACTCATATATAAAGCTCCACTCTTCATTGGTTTTCTCTTAATTAGACAAAAAGGATTTCTTTTTCATAGATTAAAACTTTCCACATCTAGATTGTAAGGAAACACCTAAAATTAAAAACCCAGAAATATAAATAACAAAAGGTTTAAAATTTCCTTCTTTTAAATGAAACTTTCCAGTTTCCACCCAACATTCAACATCCCTCATTTTCTTACCAAGCAAACAAAGATTTGGGACCAGGAATAAAAAGGTAAAAATAATTCAAAATTATCATTTTTTTTCCAGTTTTCTCAGCTACCAAACAAATGATCTTATTTCGATATCTTTTTTTACCAATGATTTCGAGAAACAATTGTTGAAAGCAATTGTAAAAAAAAAAAAAGAACACCTCTTGAACAGGAGGAAGAGTGGTTCGTTTGGGTTTCTCTCTTGACATTTTCTCTCTAATTGATTTCCTCTTTCACTTCTTTAATGGAAAGAAATATCTGATTTTTGTTTTGTTTTTTCAAGTTTGATTTGATCAACGCTCAATCATGAAGAATCCAAACAAATCACAACATGGGCTGGGCCTTTTTCAACAAATGGTTTGGGCCTTCATTTTCTTCTTCATTTATGGGTGATGTAAGACTTAACAATAAAGCAGAAAAGAAATAAAAAAATGCTCTGAAGTCTGATCTAGGTGAGCTCCCTCTTCACTCTTCAGTTATATCCGCTTGGGGACCTTCATTAGTTTTTTTTTCTTTGATTTTTTTATTATATCTTTAGTTTAAACCATTTTAATTTCTGGGTTAGTGTAAAAATTTATAGCAAAATTGGTTGAAACTCAAATTTCAATCAGGTTTATTGATGTTTTCATACTGTTCGATAAAATGCCAGAGAGAGTTATTGTTGACATTGGTTAGTTTTGACATTGCAAAATTTAATCTTTTTATTAGATTGAAGGGCTTGACAATGGGTTCTCAACAAGCTTTGGCTGCAGCTAAAGTATATCGTGACCTTCTCAAAGCAGTGAAAAAACACATTGGAAATGAAGAGTACAAGAGGCATTTTAGTGAGTATATAACACAAGAGTTTAGGAAGAGCTGTCAACTTTCAGACCCTTCTTTGGTTACCCAAAAGATTAAGCTTGCCAATGATTATATTTTTTTACTTAACAGTGTTCATCATCACAAGGTATTGCTATCTTTCACTGGTTTGGTTTTAGTTTCACATATCTTATTTTCTCTGCCATGCTTTGACTCCCTCTGATTGTTGCATTTTCTAATTGCTTTTTAATTTTTGTCGTTTATTTCAATTTGTTAAAATATTTAAAGTAAAGTTATGCATTTTGTTTCCAATAGTCACGTGGCCTGTTGATAAAGTGCTGGACTTTTAATTACAGTTATCGGGATTCAAATCCTGATAACCTCAAGTATTAAAAAAAACTATGCATTCTGTTAGTAGCAAAAGATAATCCTAATTTAATATTGGTTGTTGGACAATATGTTATAGGGAATATGGCATTGTTTTGCTATTTTAAAGAGGTATGAAAAGCATGAAATTTTCTTCTAAGACCTGTCAATTGAATAATAGAAGGCTATAAGGTCATGTTTAGTGCATAGGATAATTGATAGGATAGGATGATAATCATCTTATATCATGTTTGATTTGCATTTAAAGAACATGATAGGATTATAAGAAGGATTATTATTCTCTTGGTATAGGATAATTCAATCCTCCCAAAGTGGAGAAGATTATTTTTAATCCATAGGATTGAACTTACATGTCCTATCATACCCTTAAAAATTATATCAATAATTTAAATTGTATAATTTTAAGAAAGGATAATTTTGATCAATAAATAAATTATCCTATCTTAATCCTCCTTACACATATCAAACACAAGATAGTATAGCATTATTTAATCTAATTCTATTTATAATATCATCTTATCTTGTGTACCAAACATGACCTAATGTGCTTGTCATTGATTTCTCTAATGAGGATATAGCTATGGTTTCCTTGTTTTTTCTCATGTTTCTTCTATGGAGTTTGGTAATTTATACCTGTTCATGCTATAACCTAGTTCATTTTTTTCTTTTAAAAGCCGTAAGTTTTCTAAAAGAAATTTATGTGATTATTTCTGGTTTTGATACTTATTTGGCAGGACTTATTGTTCTCTTACAACATAGCAGTAGATAGGTCAGATGAAATGAAAAGAACACTTGGAAAATCAGCTGCAAGTGTTGGTCTTCAGCTTCCTGAGGTTTATCAGCCTTGATATCACTGGATGATAATTTTCTTCTTACTCTTCATCTACGGGTGAATAATTTTGCCTCCTCCATTCTATAGATGCTGGGAATTCAGTTGGAGCTGATCCTTGTTATTTATATCTATAATTTGTTCTCATCCAACCAATTGAACCTGGTTTTGTTGACTTGTTTCTGTATTGTGGTTGAATTGAACTTGTTTGTGTTGTTTGAGCCTTGAAGAAGCTGCAAGGAGCTATTTTGTTTAAAACTTACATTGTTTTTGAGGCTAAGGAGGAGGGAGACAGTTATCTGTGTTTCTTCATCAGGTATGATGCTATTTCATATAATTCATATGCTAATTTTTATGAGACTCTATTAATCTTGTTCTGCATGATTTGTTGTAATCTGTAGTCGAATGCGGTTATCATTTTGAGTTAAACATTTGTCTGCGTCTTGTTGGAGTTTTGCAGTTGTATATTTCCATTTTCCTGCAGTAATAATGCTATTGCTGTGGTTGTTCTATCAACATCATGATCCAAGCTGTTCCCAGAAGTTGCATGTTGTAATACACAAAACAACATGATTAATAGCACCCATAACAACAGAAACAAACAGCAAGCTTTTATTCTTTTTCTTTTTTGACAAGGTACAGTTTAGGGCAAGAGGCGATTAAAGCCGAACCTTTTTAGCTTAATCTGGGACATCTTTACTTTCCATAGACCCTAACACTTAAGTCTAGTATCGTTACAATAATTAATCTCATCTTCACTCTTTTTTTTTTTTTAATTTCACCATAATCAAGTTTATCGCTTATCCAAATGGATCCTCTGCAGCTGCCATTGGCCTCTAGTGTCACAGTTTTGAAGTGAAGCCAGGAATCCCACATTGGTTGAGTACTAAAATTGGTCTTAGGATATAAGTGTTCACACATGCCCCTCTTTGCGAGATGCCTTTTGTAGGACAAAACCGTGAGATCAAGGGAGCCAAAGCGGACAATACCTCACAAGGGTGTGAATTGTGATAACTAGGTTGATTTAAGACGGCAAATGAGTGCATGCACAGGTCCTGGAGCCTCATGGGCTTAGAGATTCAGTCTAAGCCCGTGACAAATGGTATCAAAGCTAGCTCTGGGGGTACTAACGATGTGCCACTGAGGACGGTGGACCCTCGTTGGAGTGAGGGAGGATGTTACAGTCCCGAAGTGAAGTCAAAAATCCCACATTGATTGAGTATTAGAGTTGGTCTCGGGATATAAGGGATCACACATTCCCCTCACTACGAGGCACCTTTTGTAGGATAAAATCATGAGACCAAGGAATCATAGCTGACAATATACCTCACAAAGGTGTGAATCGTGACAGGTAGGTTGATCTGGGACACTAAATGAGTGCATGTTTGGGTCTTGGAGTTGCATAGGCTTGGAGATTGACTCTCGACCCGTGACATTAGTACCTAGGTACAGCAAGCTTTTCTAAGTAGAAGTTGTTGGGGCAAAACTCCCTTGAATGCCCTAGGTCCCTAGAACTTGTGGCAGCAATGGGTTGTGTCATTGATGCTGTCTTGGCCTGCTACTTGTTCTTACTGATTGAAGTGCATTTAGATAGCGGACAAGCCAGACTTACCTTAAACACTGTCAAGGTTAAAAGTGTGCTTCTCTTGTTCTTTGTGATTATTCTGAATTCTCAACTACAAAGTCAATAGATCTTAGAATTGAAATTTTGATTTTTTTAATCTATGACTTAATTCAATTGTTTTACACAGTTACTTTTAAGATGTGGTAACCAACATGTCTTAGCTTAAATTCGAATATCACTTGTTACCCTTTCTCTATTTCAAAAGTCAAAATTGTGACTTTTTGTATTAATTTTTTAGAGTTAACGTCGTAAATGACTCTTAAATTATAATAAAATATTTAATTTGATCTTTAAATTTTAAAAATATCTAATATGATATTTGAATAATAAATATGTTAACTAACGTGATACTCATTTTTAACGTAACTAGCTTAAAAGTATATGAATAAAAAATTAATAAAATCTATGAACAATTTATTTAAAAAAATTCTAAATTAATTTTTCTCATGCATGAGTGACCTTAATATTTATAGGAAATGTGCAATCCTAACCTCAAAGCTAGACTTCAAATCTCAATCGCCGATTGAAGATATGACAAATCCGTAAATACAATTAAAATGAGGGAGCTTTTTTTTTTTTTCAAAATTTATCTCTAAATGAAATTAGTTAATTACATTTTTCATAAGTTTTTGGGTATTTATATATGTAACTTATAAATTTTATCAAATACGGAAAATTCGATTTGAAAATAAATTTTCAGAAAGATAAATTTTTAAACTTTTAAGAAAAATTATAAAAAGGAGATTTTATTAGAAATTTTTATATAATTGATGTAATGAAAAATTATTAGTGACAATGAAATCACAAATTTTAAAATTAATAAAAAAGTTAATTTTATTATTTTGACATTAGGGAAAGAATAAAATCTTATGAGATCTTAATTAAATTAAAGATAAAATAATAGAAGTAATTTATTTAAATTTAAAATTTATCACTTGTTAATAAATAATTTTTTGTGGTATCGATTATTACAATTTTATAATAATTTTAATTAAACTAAACTTCTTGGACAAATTTTTTCATTTTACTTATCACGATGAGTTTTTTTAGTTAACATATTATATTTGAATAAAATTATATAGTTTTTAGTAATATTATTTGTACAACTTTCACGAGTTTTAACATTCAAATGTTGATTAAATTTTATAGCTCTTTTATCATCTCTTGCAACATCAAAAGGTAAAATGTTTAATTAAGGTCTCATTAGACTTTATTATTTCTCTAAGATCAAAATTATAAAATTAACTTTTTTTAATTTTTAAAATTTATGATTTTCTTTTCAATAATAAATTCTTTTCATTATACTAATTAATAAAAATTCCTAATAAAATTTTCTTTTTATAATTTTTTAAAAAAACTTACTTGCTCTTCAAAAATGAATTTCCGAAAATGGCTATTTGGTATGTTATATAATTTCAAAAATCAAAATTTAGGAAGGGGTAGATCCACTATTTGGTCTGGACATCAAAAAATTAAAAAATTAAAAATAATTTCCTTTAACACTTTCAAAATCCTTTATATATATATATATATATATATTTGTCCATAAAATTAATAAATTTGTAAACAATTATATATATATATATAAATAAATGTATATATTATATATTATAAGTGGGCCCAGAGCATTGCTTCTGGAGCATTGTAACCAGTAAGGTTCCCAATTAACAAAATGAATTCTTTTTCTGTTTTTTCACGCTTATATAAAATGAGTTTCGCATAGATATAAGATTATAATTAGATTTGATCGTTCGTATATTTACATTTATTTATTTTATATCAAATATATATAAAATAAAAAAATAATTATATTACAATTTGTGTAAATATGTCAAATATAAACACATTTTTTTTTATTTTTGTCAAATTTATGTATAATATTTATTAAAATTTTATATGGTATAATTTTTATTTTTTTATATTATTTTTATATAATATTTAAAATTGTTGAGTCTAATTCTAATTGCTTTATTTCTTTTCTCTAATAAATCCCTTAACTTTTGGAAAGGATTTAAAAAAAAATCATTTATTAAGTGAGTGATAGTTTATCTTCAGTTTCACTTTTCTCCTGTTTCTCCCTAAGCATACATTTTCACTTCTCTTTTCTTTCAATTTCTTGCAATCCAAACAAACGGCAAATTTTGTGCTTTCCTGTCAACTTTCAGGACAAGTTTAAAACTAGGAAAACAAAAATGGCCATGCAACTTCAATCCCACAAATATTATTATATATAAATCAGTAGGGGACAACATGAATCTAGAAAGAAAAAAAAATGTAATCTAGAAACACATGATATGATTCTTAATGTGAATTTGAAGCAATTTGCAGCGAATATTGGCTTTTAAATCTTTGTCGAAAAATTATTTAGTTTGTACATCAAACTTTTTATCCATGAAAGTAACCTAAAAAAGCTGATTCCCCTTGCTTTTAACAAAAGTTGGAAAGGGTTCATCATTCGAGCCTGTGGGTTTTATTTACTAAATGGATTCTAAATTGAATAAAATGAAGTTTTATAAAAGAAGTTGTTAAGATATTGAGATTTAGATTTCAAACCTATTAGACGAATAAATCAATTGAACTAAGTTTTGAATTTTTTTTCCTTTTTTTATTCCTTAATCATATGGATAATTTATTGGTATATTAATATTGAGTTGCTTTCGAAGCTGATTGTCAGAATTTTTTTTTTTGTTTGAAGGCGACCACATAGGGGAAGGGAATGGATTGAACGTGCTCGGATTTGAATCCCAGATTTATAGGAATTATTTTGCTTGAAAAAGAAATGGAGAGAAAGGAATTTTCTTTGTTGATTGGACTTTTTTGTATAAGCTAAACCAAGAGAAAGTAGTACTCCATGCATATCATGCATAATGCCCAAACAAACCTTGAGGGAAAGAAAGATAATTCTGATCTAGAAACAGAAAAAAGCACTCAATAATTCTCCATTTTTTTTCTTCTAAACTCATCATCAAAACAAGTGGCCACTGGCCATAGTTTCTGAACCGTGTGGCTTTTTGTTTGTTGATAGAATAGAAAGCTTTAGGCAGCTGGGGGCTTCAGAAAATATTTATGTGGGGAAAGAAGGGAAAAATATGATTACAAATAGGCCAACAAGAGTTGCTTCTTTCATGCTAGGATATATGAGTTAACTACCAAGTTTATACAAATTCAATTCTTTTTACCAAGTACAATTTTGAGGCTAAAGAGATTTTTTATCAAAAATTTTGAATAGAGGATACATGCACTTATTATTAAATCAAATATTCAATTAAAAACGAAGGTTATTCTATCACGTAAGTTTAATCTAATGAAAAAAAAATGATGAATATGTCATGTGTAACACATCAACAACATTATTTTTTTTTTTCCTAAACTTTCATGCTAGGATGAATGACTTAATTACCGAGTTTAAACAAATCCAATTTTTTTGTCACAAAGTTTTGTGGACCGAAAGACTTTTTATCGAAAATTTTGAATAGAGGATATATGAACTTATTATTAAATCAAGTATTTAATAAAAAACGAAAGTTATTCTATCATGTAAGTTTAATCTAATGAAAAAAATTGATGAATGAGTCATGTGTAACACATTAACAACATTAATCTTTTTCAATGATGGTCCAATTAAAAGATAATTAAAAATAATTTACTGCACCTAAAAATGGAAAACTTTACTTAATGAAACTATGACCCTAAAGAAGTAGCTTTTATCTAAATATGAGGCTTAATTTAATTAGTTTTTAAAATTATTTTTTAAAGATGATATTTAGTAGATTTAGGATTCAAATTTTAGTACTTACAATTTCTTCATCTTTTCTCATGTTATGATTTTTTTATACAAAAAAGTCACTTTAATCTGCTAAAATAACCAAAAGATTTGCAAAAAAATGAAGTGGATTACTTGTTTCTTTTTCAATTTGAAAACCCTAATTTTATCAATGACTTTCTGGCCTTCTTTAAGGGTTGAATTCAATGTATTTTAATTGTCATTAATTTTATTGAAATGAAGATTAAAAAGATTCAATCAGAATGTTGTAGCAATATGTCAATTAGATGAATCTTGAAAAATTTTCCCCCATAAACTTAACCTCCTTATATGTGTTGAGATAATTTTTGCAATAGGGAAAAATTTTATTTTAGGGTAATTTTATTGGAAGATAGACTAATTTCAATTTGCATTTTAAACATTTTTTTTCATGGTTTGACCCCTATAGAATGAATTCCAATACCTTGTTGGCGCACACAATATTGACCCATTTTTTAATTTTGTTTATATAAGTATAAATTATACCGCATTTTAATTTAAATTATCAGGATTTAAATCTTAATAGTTTCAAATATTAAAAAAAAAACTTTTATTCTAGTTTGTAAAAGTAATCGAATTAACAAGTGAATATAATTATAATATCATCACTCGAATTTTTTAACATTTCGAAATTTTAATCAAATAAAATAATAGATAATTCCATCATTTAATTATTTTTCATGTTGGCGGCATTTTGTTTATTGAAAATTAGAATAAATAATTTCATTTTGAAGCAAATTTTTGTGTAATTTATGAGAGAAATTTCTTCGAAGGCTAGAGAGACAGAAACACGTTGTATGAAACCATCACTACGTATAGAATGGAAGATGCCGTCCTCCTAAGCAATTGACGGCTTGACCCCCTTGAGTTGGGGTTGGAGAAATGGCTTCCAACTTTATTACATCTTTATTCACATGCTACATACCATCTAACATTGACATTTTCCAACGATTGACTTGGATTTATTTTGGCTATCATGTAATAAATGAAATAAATTTTTATTTTTATTTTTATTTTTTACATGTGATATTAGACTACACGATCCAATCTTTCGTCTTATAAATTTCAATCCGTTTATTTCAATTCAAATAAATAAAAATAATAAACTCTATTGATTCTCGTATTTATAAAATTGTACGAAATTTAATTATTATTTTAATATTAATTATTTTTATACAGAACAAATATATGATTTATTATCACTCTTGCAATCTCATGTAGAAAGTGAACTACTATAAATCTCGTGCATTCAATTTTTCTTACAATTATTTTATTATCATTTTAAAAAAAAAAAATAGAGCTTTAATCCTAACGTACCTTGGATTTTAATCTTTGTAAAA